AGAGACAGAGACAGAGACAGATGAAGTCTCTTACGGGAGGAGGGGGGCGCAAAGGGCCTGGGCAGGGGGCGAAATCGTGGTGTTCACGCAGAGCGGGCGACCCCCAGAGAAGGGGGAGGCCGGAACCAGGGCCCCGGAACTGGCGCCGCACAGACGGCGCGGAACGGCCGCTGGGATGACGGGAAGGCCGGGCGCTGGCCTCGCGTTGTTCCCCACCCCTGTCCCCTACTCCTGCAGGTCCAACAAGCGACGAAAGACAGCCTGGAGCCCCAGGCTCCCCCACTCACCCCGAGCCCATCGCCGGCACAGTCCGTCCGCGTAAACTTTCCGCCCGCGCGCCACGGCCGGAACTATAGGTCCGTGCGACAAAGGAAGCCCGGCGCCGGGACGGCTCCAGGAGCTGGGGCGGGGCTTTAAGGACGTGGTGGGGCTGAGTTCTGGCTCCGCGGGGATGCTGGCGGATGCGTCCTTTCTCAGCGCCTCTGTCCACAGCGGTTCATCTGCCACGACCCCTCTCCCCACTAATCTCAAATTTCGCTGAGCCCGGGCTGTGTCCTTCCTTTCACTTCCTCCCTCCTCCATTCTCGGGCTCTTCCTCCATTTACCTTTGGTCTCTTGCCCACCTGCCCCATGTACCTGTAACTCTGTTACCCCTTCTGTCTCCTACTGACCTGGGCCCGTTGGTACCACCAGCCTAACCCTCCCTGACATTTGCCCCTCTTTCCCATCACTCTTCAGACCCCTCGCTCATGTCCTCGGAACCAGTTGACAGTATCCTCTTCATACTCTTGTAAAACTATAATTCCTGCCTGAGGAGTGCTTATACTAAGCTCGCTGAGTATTTTTCTTAGCTGACTTGAGCCAATTTACACGTCAAGACTTTCCCTCTTGGTCTCCCTAGCACGTTGCTCACTTTAGCCCCCCACCCTTCCTTTGAAGGAAGCAGAGGGAATGTTTAGTTAGTTTCTCCCCTGACCAAGGTGCGTTGCTGAGCCATGTGCACTCGGGCTTTCCTGTGCGGCATCATGGGCCTTCACCTACCTCACCTTTGGCTGTCCCCACAGCAGCCTGTGCTTCAGCGAGGTGCTTGTGGGGGGCAAGAAGTGACTTTCTTTCTCACCATGTAGGGAGCCAGGAAATGCCAGCTAAAGAGGTAGGCCTGGTTGGATGCCAGCCAGCAGCAGGCCCTGGGTAGTTGTGGTTCAAAGAACCATGTTGTACCACAGAGGTTACAAGTGGAAAAGAACGGCCTCCTGAAGGCCTTACGCCTTTGCCTCTTTTTTTTTTTTTTTTTCAGTTGGTGGGATGGGATGAGGTAGAGGGTAGGTCAAGGAGGGAGGATACTTTGAACTGAACAACCAAGTCTGACTTTTCACAGCTTGTCCTGTGGGAGAGTGTGGGCTCCAGTTGCTTGTAGTTCTTTCTTGTCTCCTCTTTGTATTAGAGGTGTGAGAGGAAGACAAGTCTGTCCCTGGGAATGTTCCTGCCAGCATCAGGGTCCAGGGGCCTGCAGACTGTCCTATTTGCTTCAGAACTTTTCTCCCCAGCTTGGCTGGTCTCACCATCTCAAGACCTTGTTATGCTTGAGCAGGCACTGGGATCTAGGTAAGTAAGGCTGCATACTGATTTCTTGGTTGTAATTTCTAATTCTTTCCCTAATGGGAGGGATGTGGCCAAGAATGTATGGGCAAAGAAGTTGTCTAACTACCCCTAACATTATGATGATTCAGCCATAGGGTCACTGTTCTCCTGGTAGTTCCAGCTCAGTTCCATGAACTGATTCATTACCTTACCTAGTCCTAAAGCTTACATTTACTAGTTTGCTGATGGGTGATCAGATCTTGATGACTTAGTTCTTCTGAATACAGGCTTTCAGGAAACTAGGGAAGTAAAAGTGCAATTTATTAAAATTGACAATAAAAGGTGGAACTACCAAGAGGACCGCATCACTTAGGGCAACTTGTGAAAGCTTTTGTTTTTGTTTTTGAATTCTTAGTAGAATCCCATTAAAATTCAGAAGGTTGTTCAATGAATATAAAATCAGAGAACATCAGCACAAAGAGTTAGAAGATCTTAAAGGAGATGTCTTTCAAGCCAGAGCTGGCTAATGAATTTCTTTTTCCCACTCAAGAGACCCTCAGCATTTGCATGTTTCCACACACATATTAAAGGAAATCAATTAAACAACTTCTTTGCATAATCTATCATCCCCTTTATTTTTTCCTGCTTTTAAACAGTGAGCTCCTGTCATAGAAGCTTTGAAAGGCATAGTGGTTTGGTCTCCAGTCTGACAGAAAAAAGGTTAGTGACAGAAATACCAAACCACTCACGGGGGTCAGGTACTGGGGCTCAGGGGAGGTTCATATATTCAATTCTCCCAGGGCATATGTTGAATATGTAGACTCCCAGGCTATGCCTATTGAATTGTAATTTCATGGGTTGGTGGCTGGAATTTTCATTAAGTCCCAGCATGATTTTTCATCTACAGAGATGGAGGGTAAGGAGTAAGTGAGGAAAAGGGGACGAGAGCAGGTAAGGAAGAGTGGTGCATCCACATCCACTCCTTTTGTCTTTCTCTCCCTTTCCCTGCATCGTCCTTGTTCACTCAAAAATTATACTTCCAAGTTCTAGGCTATCCTCTTTCCCCCATCCTCAAAACACATTTCACTAAAGTGGAAGTACAAAAACGTCATAGATATGACCCTTCTCTCTTCCTTAAAAAAAATTATATATATATATATATATATATATATATGTTTGGAACATTTCAAACATAGACAAAGATAAGGGAAATAGCATAATAAATCCCCATGTACTCTTCATCCAGCTTCTACTGTCAACTTAATTCTCAATCTTGTTTCATTTATACTCATACCCACTTCCTCCCAACATATTATTTTGATGCATATCCTAGATCAGATGTTTTGTCTATAACTATTTCAGTATGTGTCTCTAAAAGAGGACTTACTTTTTAATTGATAAACTATTTTTTTAGAGCAGTTTTAGGTTCACAGAAAAATGGAGTGGGAAGTACAGAGTTCCGTATATTTTGTACACTCACACACACACACACACACACACACACACTAACATCCCACACCAGAGTGATACATTTATTACAGTCCATTCACCTACATTGACACCTAGTTATCACCCATGGTTTACATTTGGTGTTGTACACTCTATAGGGTTGACAAATGTGTAATGACATGTATCTTTCATTGTATCATACAGAGTTGTTTCACTGCTCTAAAAATCCTCTGTGTTCTTTTTATCCTTCCCTCTCCCGACTCCTGGCAACCACTGATCTTTTAATTGTTTCCAAAGTTTTTGCCTTTTCCAGAATATTATATAGTTGGAATCATACAGTATGTAGCCTTTTCGGATTAGCTTCTTTTGCTTAGTAATATGCATTTATGGTTCCTCCATGTCTTTTCATGGCTTGATAGCTCATTTCCTTTTAGTGCTAAATAATATTCCACTGTCTGGATATATCATAGTTTAGAGAAGGACACCTTCATTGCTTCTAAGTATTGGCAATTATGAATAAGGCTGCTATAAAAATCCATGTGCAAGTTTTTGTGTGGACATAAGTTCTCGATTTATTTTAATAAATACCAAGGAGAGAGATAGCTGGATCATATGATAAAAATATGTTTAGTTTTGTAAGAAACTGCCAAGCTGTCTTCCAAAGTGGCTGTTCCATTTTGCATTCTCGCCAGCAATGAAGGAGAGTTTCTGTTGTTCCACATCCTCACCAGCATTTGGTGTTGTCAGTGTTCTGGCTTTCGGCCATTCCAATAGGTGTATAGAGGTACCTTGTTTTGATTTGCAGTTCCCTAATGCCCTTATGTTGAACATCTTTTCATGTGCTTACTTGCCATCTGTAAATCTTTTTTGGTGAAGTGTCTGTTCAGATCTTTTGACCATTTTTAAAATCAGGTTGTTCATTTTCTGGCGTCAGACGCGCTGCCGTTGCGCCACGAAGTCAGCCAGGTTGTTCATTTTCTTATTGTTGAGTTTGAGGAATTGTTTGTATATTTTGGATAACAGTCTTTTATCAGATATGTGTTTTGCAAATATTTTCTTTCAGTCTGTGGCTTGTCTTCTCGTTCTCTTGATGGAGAGGAACTTCAAAAACAAACAAGTAATAGTTAACATACCATTATAAAATTTAAGATAATTAATAATAAATCCCTAATATTGTCAAATACTCAGATTTCAAATATCCAGTTTTCTCATAAGTATCATAAATTTCACTGTTTTACTCTTTGATTGTTTGAATCAGGACCCAAGTAATATCAAGGCATTGCAGTCTGTTGACATTGTCACTGGAGTCTTTTAAACTATAGGTTCTCCTTCCATGTCTGTTTCCCCTTGCAATGTATTTGATGAAGAAACTATGAGCCCCGTCTTTTGATTGCTCTCAATCCTCCTTCAGTTTTTTTCCATAGCATTTGAGAAAACCACAAAGCTTCTCCACTCCTGTAATGGAAAGACTCACTGAACAAAGAAAGGATTTTATATAATTCCAATTAACACCATCTCTGCTCTGTAAATAGGGGTGAGCCTTATCCACTACCTCATAGAGGATAAGGGCCTGGCATGTGACACTGGATATGCACTTGTAGAAAGAAGTTAGGAGGGAAAGAAGAGAGGTTATTAGAAAAAAGTCAAAGGGGAAAGCAGATAAAATTCAGTAGACACTGCATTCGTCTAAGAAGGTAGACTGTACTTCTTTTTTGGGATACTTTCTACTTTGAAAAGTGTTATAAACTATACATTTTTAAAGGTTCCTCATGCTCTGGGTCTGTATGATCTGGGTCTTGCCGGGCTTACCCCTCACCTTCTTAAAACTCAATGAAAAAGCATATAAAGCAAAACAAAGCAAAACTAGTTTTTAAAAAATTGTAAAAGTAATTCATTTTTATGGGGAGAAAAATCAAACAGTTTTAAAATATAAAAAGTGAAAAATAAGTGTTTATTTTCTTAGAAGTAATCATATGTATCTCCCTGCCTCAACTATTATCAGCTACTGGCTTTGAGAGATGAAGTACTAGGGATTTTTTTTGTTTGGATGGTTTTGTTCTTTCTGTATCTACTGGTGACAGAAGTACAGCCACTTTTACATAGTTTTTGCAAAATCGTCTGTACATATGTGTGTATACGTGTGTGAGTATATATGTGTATGTATATCTACATGTATACGAGTATATATGTGTACATATACACCTATAATAGTATTAAATATATAATACTTTTAAACTAAATGCAATAATGCTATTTATACTGTTCTGCATCTTGCTTTTATTAATTTATTAATATACCTTGGACATCAGCTTCATTCCTTTTAACTGCTATATAAGTGACTATTGCAAAGATATGCACCAGCTTCCCATTGACATTTAGATAGATTTCAGTTTTTGCTCTTGTGAGCAATGCTGGAATGGGCCTTATAGACCACCGCAGGGGCTTGTCCTCTGACTGAGGTGGGAAGCCACTGAAAAGTTTGGAATATAGGAAGGACATGATCTGACTTACAGTTTAATGAAGTCACTGATGCTGCTGTGTCAGATTTATACTCCCTTACCAGTATCTTCACCATTTTTGTTTTTTTAGTATTTCTCAAGTGATAAGCAAACAAACAACCTCATTGCTTCAACTGGTATTCCTTTATAAAGTCAGATTGACACGGTGAGTTTTACTTAGTGGGTGAGATGTTTCTCACTTACTGACGGGGGAGTTGTTCATTGTACTGGCACCGTGTGGATTCCTGCGTGGCCACACTGAAGCCTGCTGATAGCACCTGTGTGATTTCTCCTTTAGATCCTTGGCCCCTCAGGATGGGTACCGGACTGTGAGGCCAAAACCCTGTCTTTGAACTGCTACCGACCTGAAGTGTCACCCCCTGCAAGCTGCCTCAGGTATGGCACTTGCCTCACTGGCTTGGAAAGATGAAGTGTCATGGGACGTTTTGGGGCTTATTTTGCACATTCCCACCAGTGTAACTGTATAGCCAATTTTTTTTGTCCTATAAACAATTAAAACAATATAAACAGAAGGTCTTGGGCTGTGACATAGTTCAGCGTCTGACAGATCCAAGTGCTTTTTTACTGGTTCTCACTGTACCTCTTACAGCAGCTCCACGAGGAGGCTCGTCTTTTCTGGTTTCATAAATGAGGGTCCTGAGGATGAGAGCTTAGAAAGTCTTGCTCCCAATCAGGCTTGTTAGTTTATTCGAGGTTGCAAAGTAGTACCTATAACTCACATTCAGCCCCCAGGCCCTTTAATATTTTTAAATTGTTTTACATTGGAATGCCTACTAAGGGCTTATTCATTCTCTGTCCAGACACAGCCCTCATTACTCTCCACTGACTTTAATAGAGCCGATTTAACTTATTTTTTCCCACTCAGGCCCTTAAGGCATTTGATTTTGCAACCCAAATCTTCCAAACCTAGTCTGTTTTCCAGTGTGTGGGGTCAATATCAACTCCTGATGTAGGCCCAGAAACAAACCACCCTCAGCCACAAACTCTCCACGTCAGGTAAAAAGTCTCATTCTTTCTTCCTCCTGTTCTGATAGAACTGTGGGAAAGGCCTTGATCTGCAGAGGGAGAGGAGAGGCAGGCCCTTCCTCAGCCCCGGATATTATTGTGAGGATCAGAGCCAGGTCTGCCTCACCTGTCCTGCCACCTTGTTCCAGGGAGAGTATAAAACGAGGCAACAAAGCAGGTCAGCTTCCCCTCCTCGGAGGTGCTGGTGTTTCTCCTGCAGTTTGCTTTCTGAAAGGCCATGAGCCTTTGCGAGTGGGCAGCACCCCCACAGCCATGTGTAGCTCAGGTGCCCCATCTCTGAGCAGCTCCTCACTAAGGATGTACTTTTATTCAGTCCATCAACAAATATGTTTATTGGGTGCCAGACACTGTTCTGGGCTCTGGGGTTTTAGCCATGAATTAGACAGGCAAGGTTTCTGTCCCCTTGGACCTCATCTGCTAGTAAGAGATGCAAGACATAGTAAGACATTAATCAGGTGATCACAATAGTAAATATGCAGTAGAGTGTTGTCACAATGGAACGCATGGGGACCTGCTGCCCCCATAACACAATCTGACTATGATCTCCAAAAGCAGAATAATAAAAATAACAACAACAACGATGACAGTGCCAGGCACTGTTAGTATGTTTTACATATTAATTTACTTAATCCTCACAACAAGCCTACCAAGCGGGTAATGCCATTACACTTGCATTTTACACATTTAGAGGTTTACAGTCACTGAGAAGTTAAATCACTTGCCCAAACTCATACCATTCATACAGATTATGCTTCCACTCTTGGTTGAGCAGCAGACTCTTATATGGCCTGTTGAATTTTAAATGTGCCACAACCCCAATGAGAACAAGATATTATAGAAGGAACAGGGTTCACCCCCAGCAGGTGAGGTTTAGGTTGGACACTAGAAAGAACTCCTTGGCAATAGTTATGAGTGTATGAGAGAAAAGCATCCCTTTTCTGGCAATTTGCTTCTCCCTTGAATTTTCTATTTTGCATAAATAACATTGTAAAAATAGATTAATTATTCTAGGGAAAACAAGATCACTCATAATTCTACCTTGGGAAGAATTGCGTTCCTTTTCCCATCTTTCTGGACCAGAGTGAGACTGTGCTCAACAGTTGGTATGAGAGGGGAAGTAACTAAATGTGGTCCTGTCTGTAGGAATCTAAAGGCAAGGATGGGGTAATTGCAGAGGTAGCCCTTCTACCCAGGCTTCCACCATCCAGAGTGACCCCAGGACACCCAGAGATGAAGATAGCTCCTCCATAGGGGGAGGCACCTCTGTGCTTCAGTAGGGGGAGCTGGGTACCTTCTTACTCGGGGAGGGGGGGGCGGGGAATAAAAAAAGCATGCTCTCCAGGTACCTTGTGGGAAACAGGGAGGGGAGAAAGGAGCAATCAGTAAGTATCAGGCAGAGTTAGCTGAATGACTGAAATGGCCCCCAGGTCTTTGAGTAGGATCATGAGACCCCATTGCCTCACTTTACTCCCACTTCCATCGGTTACAACCCTGAGCCGGAGGCACGACTCCTCGGGTATCTTGGGATGTTCCAGCCTGTGCTGAAGAGATCTGTCCCTCCCTCTCCCTCAAGGATTTCCCTTAGGCCTAAAAAAATATTTTGCATGTGTGAAATGCTTGAAGTTTGTATTTTCCTCACATTCCCTCATTTAAAAGAAAATAGACTATTTCTTAGAGCAATTTTAGGTTCATAGCAAAATTGAGCAGATATTCTCTCATATACAATTTTGATTCTCACATCCACCCTACAAATAGGTAGGGCTGGTATTATTATCTCCATATTTACATGTAGATTACATTTAGAATCACACAGTAGCAAAGGGAGCCTGGTGCTAACTGCGGTCTTCTGATCTCTTAAACCTCAGGCACTTTCTCTTGGTTCCCACAGAGCGAATTCGGAATCCCCCCCACACCTCCCCCACNCTCCCCAACCCCCACCCTCTCATAAGCATGGAAACCCCGGACCACCTTTCATTTCCAGAGCTTAGAAGCAAGTTTGAGAAGCTCCGTGAGTTCCCCCCTTGACTACAGGGTCCCACGGAGAGCCCATTCATGTCCCTGGTGGAAGGCCCATACGCTCAGGCTCTGGCAGAGGCACTGGGACCCAGAACTTGTACAATACGCCATAAGCTTCTTAGAGGTGGGTATTAGTAAGGATTGGATATTCTTCCCCTGTGATGCCCTTCACACCCGACCCTGCCTTGAATTAGGATCCCATAGGAGAGCTGGGACAGGAGAATGGGGTGTTCCCTGTTGTCCAGCTTCAGACCCACTGTTTGAGACCCTGGATTCTGACAAGTTTCCAGAACTGAGAAGATACCCCGCTGTCCAAGTTTGAAGGTAAAATGATGTGATTAGGTAGGAGGGATCAACTGGGGTGCCAGCTCAGCTCTGTTACATAACACAGGCACACCAGAAAGAGAGAGACCCTCCGAAGTTTCTTTAGGAGATTCAAAATGTTGAGTTTATGGCAAGAGACAGGGTGGACAAGGAGATAGTGGAAAGACAATTATAGGAATCAAGGACAAAGAAGGAAATTCACGTATTCCTTAGTTCTCTTTTTGCTTGTCCCTCTTTTGCTGTTTAAGACAATTGCATTTGCATTGCTAATTAGTGTGGTGTGCTGGAAAGATTGGGCAATGGAAAGCTCACCTGCACTGCTACTCACTAGCTTTGTTTGAGCAAGTTACATCTCTCTGGACCTCAGTTTCTTCCATGTCTCAGATGGGGAGTTGCACTAAACTGTGTCAGTAACTCCTTCTACCTTTAACAACTTAAGATTCTATGGCTTACTCATCTCACTTCTAATAGATTTCTTCACATGCAAATTCAATCATTTCTAGTTATTGTTTTGTAATAATCTGTGGACAATGATTAGAGATTTAATAAATATTTGTTTGGGCTGGGCCTCAATGCCCTTCTTTATAAATGGAGAATTCTTTGAGGGTCTTTCATGTTCTTTCCTCTTGTGCCCTTATGTAAAATAACCCTTATGTGGGTTCTGTACAGTGTTTTTCACAGACCTTTTTACTCTCCCAGCATTCCTGTGACATAGGTATTGTTATTACTATTTACATAGCTAGGTCTTGTTATTACACTACTATTGTTAAATTTAAAATATAACATGTATTAATGAAAAGATTAAATGGTTAAACTGAACAATAAGATATACTGAAAAATAAGTCTCCTCTTGACCCCTGGCTTTTAAATTCCCTTCTCCGGATGTCCTTCCAGAGATCGTCTTTGCATCATCGACTTGTGTTATCATGCCTGTTTCACAGATGCTGCACTGAGGCTCAGCCTGTCCAGGGTGACACAGCTGGTAAGCAGCAGAGCAGAGAACCCAGGCTTTTGACTCCATTCTCAGTGTTCCTCCCACTACACAACACTGTCTTGGAAGCCTCATGACCTTAACTTTTAAGCTTTGTCCTCTCTGGGTGATATGGGGGAATCATTTTAAGTCAGGTGGAAAAAAATGTATATGAAACCTTGATATCTCTGCCTCTGTCTTCCACTTCTTCCTCTTTTTGTCTAAAGCTTAAAACCACGCCTTCTTACCTCCATTCTGCCTTTGATAAGGTGAGACCTGTGGCCTGGAGCACCAACTATGGATGACTGAGTTCCCAGCAACTCAGGCTTGGACCTGAGAAATGGTGGCAGACCTTTGGCAGGGAGCCCAGGGAGGGCTGGCATGCCTACACAGCACAGAGGACCCCTAGTTGCTCTTTTCCCAATCAGCTGGCATTGCCCGCTGGAGCAGGGGCAGAGGAAGTTTTGTTCCCTCTGCTTTCCACCATAAAGGCCCCTGCATGAATTGTCACTCTGTCTAGATGAGGATTTGGTGGATCTCAACTTTCCTCTTAGAGGCAAGTAACCTTTTTTTATTTTTCCCCTCTAGGTTTGTAGATATCTCTTGGTTGGGCTTCATGGAAAAATCTTCCCTGATCACCAAACTGAATCCCAGATCAGCCCCCGTCTTTCAGTGGACAGAATGAGAAGCCTTCTGTAACCTGGCATAACTGGCTATCATGGGGAAATGGATCAGGATGGGGGTGCAGGAAAGGCGGTTACTCCGGCCCAAACGGCTTCACTGGAGTCGCTTCCTCTTCCTGATGGGCATGTTGATCATTGGTTCCACCTATCAGCACCTGAGGAGCCCCTGGGGCCTCCCTACACGGTGGGCAGCAGTCTCTTCCCAACACCCTGTAAAACTGGCCAGCCGGGACCTTTCCAACAATGAGATGATGATGGTGAGCAGTGACCCTCCAAAAGCTAGCCCTGAAATGGAGGGTGAGACACTGGTGCCCCAAACCACAGTGGGCAGGGATGAAGCAATACGTGGCATAACAATGGAGAATATCCCCAGTACACCCAGAACAGCGCCCAACATCTCTCTAACAACACCCAAAAATAACTATAGCCCAGCAGCAGCAGGCACAGAAAGAGTGAAGGAAAAGATCCCAACCACAGCCCGTGGAGTACTGAATCACTACATCCCAATTTCAAGCAGATCAACAGTAGAGAATTATACCCCAACAATACCCAGGGGAGAAATGAAGAGCTACCGTCCAACTCAAGCCAGGGGAAAGGTAAAAAAATACACCCCATCCCCACTTGGTAGAATAGTAAACAATTATGGCCCATCCACATTCATGACATTGACAAGGAGCCAAGGGATCACCCCCAGAACGACAGTGAGAGAGAATGAAACTGTGGCAACCTACAAAATATTGGAGACCAACCCCTCTAAGGGAATAGTGGAAGAAACCACCCCAACGACTCTCAAGGGAATAATTGAAAACACCCAAATTTTCCTGATAAATGATACAGAAACAAACATCTTGACTTCTCCGAGTACGGTAGAGAAGAACACCCTGACTACACCCAGAAGAGTGGACAATAACAGCTCAACCAACCCCCGTGAGTCAGTGGGAAAGAACAGCCTGAAAACTCCCCAGGAAACAGCCCTGGTGCACACTGTAGCCATCTCTAAGGGGCAAGTGACAATTAGCACCATGACAGGCAGCAGCCCAGCAGAAACCAGAGCCTCTACTGCTGCCTGGAAGGTTAGGAATCCCTCATTCAGGACTAATGCACCAACCACTGGAATATCCTCAGCCACCTTTTGGGAGCTGGCGAAGAAACCATCCACAGCACCCAGCATCTCAGCAACCCCCCACATCAAGGCAAATCCCACCACCCAGGCCCGTCACTGTGTGGTTGTGGAGCGAGCCCCAGCTGTACCCACTACCCCCTCCCCGAGCCTGACAACGGCCCTCCTCCCAGAGGCGCCCAGCCCCAGTCCCTCAGCACTGCCCCCCAGCTGGCCAGACCACCACCCCAAGGCAGAGTACCCCCTAGACCTGTTCAGCGTGGAGGAGCGGCAGCAGGGCTGGGTGGTCCTGCACATCTTTGGCATGATGTACGTGTTTGTGGCCTTGGCCATCGTGTGTGATGAGTACTTTGTCCCAGCCCTGGGTGTCATCACAGACAAGCTGCAGATCTCTGAGGATGTGGCAGGCGCCACATTCATGGCCGCTGGAGGCTCTGCCCCTGAGCTTTTCACCTCCCTCATTGGCGTCTTCATCTCCCACAGCAACGTGGGCATCGGCACCATCGTGGGCTCTGCTGTGTTCAACATCCTCTTTGTCATCGGCACCTGTGCCCTCTTCTCCCGGGAGATCCTCCACCTCACCTGGTGGCCCTTGTTCCGTGACGTCTCCTTCTACATCGTTGACCTGATGATGCTCATTCTCTTCTTCCTGGACAGCCTGATTCTCTGGTGGGAGAGCCTGATGTTGCTGCTGGCCTATGCCTTGTATGTGCTCACCATGAAGTGGAACAAGAAGCTGGAGCTCTGGGTGAAGGAGCAGCTCAGCAGGAGGCCGGGGGCCAAGGTCATGGCCCTAGGGGATCTCACCAAGGTAAGGACAGGCCAGCTGAGGCTTCTTTAGCCCCTATGGGGCAAAAGGGTGAAGGGAAGGCAGGGACCGAAGAGTGGAAAGTGCTGGGTCAGACCTCAAGAGATGGGTGCTCTGGTTCCCTTGCTCTTCATTCAACATTTAGAGTCCTCTGCTCTGTCAGGCACCATGCTGGGGCCTTTCCAGGAGTGACCTGGGTTTATCTCCCAGTCACCCTATAAAATGGTTATCATTATGATCCCTCATTGGCAGGGGAAGAAACTGAGGCCTAATGGAATTAAACCACCTGTTCAATGTCACACAGCAAATGGGCGGTAGAGCCAGGATTTGAACCCAGTCTGGTCTGACTGGGTCTTGGAAATGACATTTGAGCTGCGCTTTGGAAAATGTCCAAGGAGATACCAGGCAGAGAAAAACAAGAATCTCTTCCATGTGCATGGTGTTTAGGGTTTCTCTGGCACCCTCATTTCATTTAATCTCATTTGCTCACATTCCAGACTTGGAGGGTCTGGTGGCTTAGATGGGGTCTGAAAAGGGGGGGAGGCATTCTTTTTGGTTTGGTTTTGTTTTTAAAATATTGGAGAAGATAGGAGCTGCACTTATCCAGTCACACCAGCCCTGGGTACAGAGCCCTCTCTCTGCTCTGACTGGAGACTAGACACCAGTCTCTCTATCCCTGGGGCTTTCTCCTGGCCCCAAAGTTCCTTTCCCAGAAATTCTCTGTCCTACTAAATTTATTGCATGATTCAATAATCTGGAAGATTAAATTGGGGAAGTGATGTCTGAAAATTCATCTCAAAGTTGTTTGTTCCTTGAGAGTCTGAAGTGAGGGCACCCTAGGGAACCCAGACCCCATTTCTCTCCTGCTTCTAAAGGCTGAGCTTGGGCAAAGTTTGGCTCATAGCCTGCCTGTCTCAGGTCTCAGAGAAGCCACTGGTGCAAGCAGAATTTTGCGTGCAAAGAGTGGAAAGACTTAGCTACTTAATCCAGAGCAGTTTTGATGAGTAGGCAGGACGGAGAACAAACTCAGCAACATGTCTGGAAGATATATGATGTGAAGGAGATGAAGTGTACTTCATTTAGGATTTTTCCCCCCCTCACCTTCTCCCTCATCCCCAATCCCCTTCCATCTAGCAACCCTCAATTTTTCCTCTATTGAGATAATGTGGTTGGAGCACGGAACTGAGAGTCAGGAAACCTGGGTTCTAATCTGATTCTGCCTTTAACTGACTGTGTGTGACCTTGCACAGGTTCCTGTTCTTCTCTGGGGGAAATGACAAGGTCCAGCTAATTACCAAAAGGTCCTGTCTAGCTCTAACACTCATTGATAATGTCCTGTGTCCAACTAAGTTCAGTTCTGGCAGGCCCAGCACGGTGGTTATTTGATCTGGTCAACTGAGCTCTAAATGCCCTATTTGCAGATTGCCCAAAAAGGAGAAATGTACTGCCCAATGTAATACAGCCAGCAGATGTAAGAACTGGAAGCCAGTAGCCTAACTCCCCCATCAGGGCTGTTTCCCACCAGACTACTGCTCCATGAAGCCAGAGGCTTAAAAAAGGAAGGGAGGCTCAGAGTTACATCGCTTCCTGTGAAGAAACAGGCCTCCTTCCTAATGTTCTCAGGCAGGCCTTGATGAGGGTGGCCATGAAGCCTGGTGCCCTCCTCTGAGAAAAGCATCTACTGCTTGGTAGACATCAGGCAGCAGTTTTCAAAATGCCTCTGACTTGCCTCCCAGTCCTTCATAGTCATTCTGTTTCTGTTTAAACTCTACAAGTTCTGAATTTTCCATTTCGTCAGAGCCAGACCATCAAAGCAAAGCTTGCCAAGCAAGTGAAGTATAATCATGATTTCCAAAGAGAACTTGTAACCTACTTAAGAGACTCTTCAAGGGCTTCATAGCAGCTCTTTGGCAACCAGTGAGAGAGGTGCTTATTACAACTCTGTTCCTAGCTATTTGTTGGAACAGATCCAGGATGATTTTTTTTTATTTTTTATTTTTTTTATTTTTTTTTTTAGCTGAGCCATCCTGCTACCTATTGGCAGCTTAGCGGCTGCTCAGCTCGGGCTGGACTCGAACCACTGTTGCTCAGAGCTCAAACTCTTGAGCGAGCTCTTAACCAACTGAGCCACTCGGCCGGCCCTCAATCCAGGATGATTTTTAATTAACAACATTACTTTTAAAAGCAGATTGAATTCCTGGCTATACCTGAAAGCAAATCTATATTTCAAGTGAAAAACCTATAGTTAGGACTTTCTAGCACTAACCACTGCCTGCTGAAAGTTAGTCCAAGTAACTCAAGAACAATAGCTGTTTTGAATTTTTTAAAAACAACTATCTGGATTTGCAGTTTCACCCCACGTTTTTTTATAGCCAAAGAGAGAAAGAATTGCCTTTGCTTGTACTCCATTTCTGTGTTTAGCTAGCTAAGACCTCTGGTCTGGTTAGAGGGAGATCAGTTGTCCTGCACTCCACTGACAGGCTGAGGGCAAACCATTCTGGTTTGAATTCATAAGGCAATCCTGTAAAAACCCGATCTTTGCTCTGATAAACTGTTGGTATTCATTTTTGGCGGTTTATGCAACTGTGTGTACTCACCCCTGTAAATTATTTTACTTTAACTATGGAAATGAATATGCCTTGCCCCCTCACTTTTATGACTTATTACCTCTTCCTGACGAATGGGTCCCTTCTTGGAGCATCACCTCAGGAAGGCAGGGGGGCTGTAGAAACTGGGCTCATTGAATCAGCCATGCCCTGAAGGTGAGGAAGTCAGAGAGAAGGGGGGCAAGGCCAGACTGGGCGGCAGAGAGCCAGGGCGGCTGGTTGGGAGGTGAGGTCAGAGCCACAGCTGCTCAGGGAGTCTAAGCGGTGGGAAGAGACGTGGAGGGCAATGGGATGCACTCCATCTTGGAGAGGAACAGGAGCAAGAAAGACACTGTCTTCCTCTGTTGCCAGCCTGGGGTGAGGTACGGAGCGGGTAGCTCATCATTGTCATTAAATGGGGAAACAGTCTTCGTATTTCCCAAAGGGCCGAGCCCAGGGTCTCAGCTCTAGCAAAAGCTCTATAACTATTTGGTTCAGTTTCCTCAGGGAACCCTAACCGTTTCGAGAGAAAGGAGTGGGGAAGGGAATCCATCCTGATGGAGGGCCTATTCCATACATACGTGATCTTACCAGCTTCTCATAAACACCCTACAAGGAATAGATTGTTATCCCCATCTTGCAGATGAGGAAACTGAGGCTCAGAGAGGATAATTAGCTCAGCCAAATTTACACTCATGAATCTGTATATCTGGATTTCAACCCAGGCTCTACTGCTCACTAGCCCTGTTACCCCGGGCAAGTCAATGAATCTTTATTATTAAGAACTTCAATAAAAAGCAGCGTGGGAAATAAAAAAAGTGTGTCCCTTCCAGTAGAAGGGACAGGCATAGACAAGAGTAATTATAATAAAAGGGAATACTGTGCTAAGTGCTACAAAGTCACTTTGCTTTTCATCCAGACCTTAGATTGCTCATCTGTAAAGTAAATGAGATGAACTAATGCAGGAGTTGGCAGACTTTTACTGTAAAGGGCCAGATAGTAAATAGTTTAGCCTTTGCAGGCCATACAATCTCTGTCACAGCCACTCAACTCCGTTGTTGTGTGAAAGCAGTCACAGACAGGATGTAAACGAACGAGAGTGGCCACGTGGTGTTTGTCACTAAGAGCAACGTACTCACAGGTGTTTTCCTACCTGAACAACTTGGAGACGTAAGATCAGCAGAGGATTCATTTTCCTACTGAATATGCACCCAACTTGTATCTGTGGAGTTTATGAGCTGGAAGACCTTTCACTTTACTTTTTATTCTGCTCTGATCATCTAGAACCAGGATAAAAATTTTGGGGGGAATGAGTCTAATCAGAATTTACTTAAGAGTATTTTCAGGAAAAAAAATGATGTAGCAGCTGACAGACACATAGTAGCTATTTTTAGAGATTTTTGACATGTATTGATTGGTTTAAGAAATTACCCCAATAAGGAAATGGTAAATGTTTGTATAGTTCCCAACACAGTCTGACTTAGTTTGCTCTGAAACTTTACACCTGAGTTTGCAGCTCTCAGTGTATTTGTCCTGGCCAAAAATGATGCCTATCCAACATGCCCTGACCATGCATACTCACAGAAAGCCAACATACAGCTAGCCTGGCTAAATGGAAATTCTTACCTGTTTTGGAGGGACAGTGAGCCCTTCTTTAGAGTTATGAGCTTAGCCAGGAAGGACCAGTCATTTGCATGAGACACTGATTGGCAAGGCATTCCCATGGGGTGCCAGTGATGGGAAGGGATGCAAGGCAGGGAATGAGTCTGCTCTGGGCCCCTTGGGAAACCCCGTACCCACATTCTGCCCCCAAAGTACTTCAGAATGTGAAACTCTGGAGGCAAATTGCCCCTCTTTCCTAAATGCATTTGGGGCTGTTTTCTTCCTGGTGGGATTGTTTATTAAACCAACCAACAGGACCCCCAAGCAGACAAACCTGGTGCCTCCTTAGGTTTCTTGTCAGGGTTGACAGTTACTGTCCTGCCAGCTGTCTGCTGTGGAGACAGGGAGGGTGTGGACAAGCAGCAGCCACCGTGGCCCTTTCTGCCTGTGGGCTCCGCCCAGGCTGGGCTGCAGGGAACTCACTGTGCTCTCCAAGAGCCCATCTTAGGCTGGGCTGAGGGGTTCCCTCCTTTAACTCCTTGAATAAGTCAGCTTCCCCCCAAGCTGTCAGGAAAAGATGGTAAGAACATAATTCTCGATTTAAAGGCTTTCTTCCTTTGTAAAATTTTCTTAAGCTTTTAGTGTTCCCCTGCTAGTGGGTACTATTAGATGACAAAGTGAATGCATAAGAAGCAGACAAATATTAACAGAAAAACTCAAACATCTGATCATGCCTGATCCAATATCTTTTTTTTCATTGGTGTGTGTATGCTTATAGTTGAGATTTTACATGCATCCATGCAACACAGTATATTT